TGGTGCCTGTCCTGGATCTTGCTCTGTAGATCAGGCTGGCCTCGAACTCACAGAGATCCGCCTGGCTCTGCCTCCCGAGTGCTGGGATTAAAGGCGTGCGCCACCACGCCCGGCTTCTTTTGTGTTTTGATGTTGCACCAAAAACAAAAACAAAAAACAAAAACTGCCTAACAGCAGACTATGAAGATGACTCATTTTCTTATGTTTTACAGTTTTAGTTTTTAAATGAATGGTTTTTTTGTCCATTTTGAATTAATTTATGGATATTTTATGAGGCAGAGAGGTCCAGCTTGTGGCTGTCCAGTTGTTCTAGTACCACACTTGTTGAAAGGAGTATAGCTTTAAAAACTTAATCAGGTCACAGGCTTTGCAGTTAAAAACCTTCTATGACATTCCGTTAGATCCGGTCACTAAGCTTACAGATATGACAGCCTTGGGAAAATCAGGGCACACTCCCCTGAAGTCTGTCCTTGAGATAAGGAACCAGCAGGCTCCAGCCGTGGCTGGGAAAGCAAGTCCAGTTTTCCTGGAAACTGAAAAATACGTTCCTGGTCCTACCTGGTGCCCGCCTCTGTGTCAGGAGTCAAGTAGACTAGATCAGGCTGTCCCAAGGTGTGGAAATCCGGCCAGCCCCTAATGAAAGCCCGAAACCTCCTTTGTTCTAGGATTGGAAGGCTTTCCTTCAGGGCCCCATCATGTTATCTGTGGGAACTCTCTCTCCTCCCTGGACCTGAAGACTTTCCTCCCGCTGCGGGGCTCCATTGTGCAGTCTCTGGCCTGATCCTCCATTTCTCCTATTGCTCTTCCATTCAAGACCCAACCACACCTCCCCCAGCTGTGAGTCTGCCCCTCACCTCCCCCAGCTGTGAGTCTGCCCCTCACCTCTCCCCCAGCTGTGAGTCTGCCCCTTACCTCTCTCCCAGCTGTGAGTCTGCCCCTCACCTCTCCCCCAGCTGTGAGGCTGCCCCTTACCTCTCCCCCAGCTGTGAGGCTGCCCCTCACCTCTCCCCCAGCTGTGAGGCTGCCCCTCACCTCTCCTCCAGCTGTGAGGCTGCCCCTCACCTC